CTTCATTTTCCTTCATTTTGCTGAATCACAAGGCTTAAAAAGCCCGGACAGGCACAATAATCCTGTTCCGGTGTCCTTCAATTGAGAAAAGGAGATTGCACCCTCTCCTTAAAACTCACTGTTAAATTGGCACAATACTCCAATTTTCAGTGAGCAACAGACACTCAGGTGGAAACCTGAGGTTTACAACCGAGGAGGAACACGTGAAGGATCAGGCTACAAGATTATCATTAACTTATCTTCTCTTTATTGCGTGTTTTCGTTTTTTACGAGCTCTTAAAGAACTTTTGTTTCTTTTTGCGCGTATTTTTGGATTGTTTCCTGACGAAGAATTCATATTCATTTTTGGAGGACTATCAAAGGAGCATAGAGACGAACTCTAAGTTCTTATTATTGAATTGTGTAAAAAAAAAAAAAGGTATTTTGTAATTTTTATGTGTTTATGATTTATTTTCTTTTTTGATGTTGTTATTGTTTTGTATTGACAAATTGTAATTTTTGTGGCGAGTATTGTTTTTTAAGTCTGGTGAGCATTTTTTTGTAATTTCGAGATATCTTACATTTATTTTCTAATTTTATACTTTGGGCTGATATTTCTATTGTGTTTTTGCTTCTATTTGAGATAACTGAGTTTTATGATTTGATAGTTTTTACTGGTTAAAATTTTGTGGTTCATCAGGTGAGTATTAAATTCTTTGATAAGTTCAGATAATGGAGTTCAGCTTAAAACACATGACCTGGCAGTGGAAGCTTTTGCTATGTGTACTTTTCGGACTCATTCTGCTAGGAGTATGGGCTTTAGGAGGGTCCACGAGTGGACTCAATTCCTATCAGACATCTGATTTCCGACCGATTTCTGTCGAACGCGGATTCTCTGGTGGAAATGTGACTGCTCGTGTGAAGCGTTCTTTGAGATCTCCTGTTGACAAGTGCCTCACTAAATATCGTGGAATTGAATTGAATTATAGTTTGGGTACTTTGACTGATTTCCAAATTGACCTGTGTGAGGTAACTCGTCGCTGCTGGTCGACTCCTCGATCCTGGCAGAAGACTCCTTTGTATTTGTGTGGAGATCTGACTTTCCAGCGACATTGTATTACTCAGGAGAATGGGTTTCGACATTTGTGTCCCACTTGGAATTCGGCTTTCAGATGGGTGGGATCAAGTTGGAGTCCACCTTATGCTTATAAATATGTCACTGAATATGACAAGGTCACCATAAAACAAGGGACTATAGGAAATTCTCCAGTGAAGGGTCAAAATCCTCTTGTGTTAACCATTTCCTCAATGCATAATGCTTTCTTTAAGAAATATCCGGCGGATTCAGCTGTCTATTTAACTTTGGGAGCCTCAATTGATTATAAAGATCCACTTGGGGTTATTAAAATTAATCTGGTCAGACCTGATGTACAGGAACAAATGGGAATTGAGGTTCCTGATCAGTATGCAGCTAAAATTGACTACACTGCAGTCACACATCATTCAAACAGTGACTGGGTATAAGGACAGGAATTTATGGTTGAATTGGATGGTTCAAACAGCTATAGAAACTAATATTGGGAACTGCATTGCATGTGCTACAGCTAGACCTCATCTTTATAAGGAACCTGCCCCATTACACTTGGGAGATAGCTGGGGTTTTGATTGCATGCTGAGATTAACACGTGAGGCGAATCCCATGAATTGTACTGTGTTTGCCACAATATATCCGCCTATTAATAACTATACTCAAACGGGAACTTTTCTTCCGGTTAAGGGTAAAGGATTGTATGTGTGTTTTAATTTTACTCATCTTAAGCCTGATCTCAATTTAGGACAAATTCCTAGTGATTGGTGTAATGTTACTTTGATAGCAACCAGAATTGGGAATTGGGCCAGAGCTGGACTTTATTATTTTTGTGGAGGTGATAGATTATATGTGCGAATTCCTCCTAAGACTGTTGGAGTATGTGCTATGACTCGCCTTGCAGTCCCGCTTATGGTTGTAGGAGAAAGACTTGATCCTGTAGGTCCGGCGCAGGTGCTCAACTCACTGACACAGAGAAATAAGCGACAGGTGCGTCATACACGTTTGGATACTGCATTTGATTTGACTACTAATTCTCCTACTTATATCGATGCCATCGGTGTGCCGAGATGGGTTCAATCAATATAAATTGGCTGATCAAATTGCAGCAGGTTTTGAGAATTTACCTGTGTTATCAGCTTTCTTTCCTATCACCCCGAATAAAAATGTTGATAGGATTAATTATGTCCATTATAATCTTTTGAGGCTAGCAAATCTGACCAGGGATGCTGTTGGAGGTTTGAAGGACCAGTTAGCCCCGACTTCTTTAATGACAATTCAAAATCGGATGGCGCTGGACATGCTTTTGGCTGAAAAAGGAGGGGTCTGCTTTATGTTCCAAGACAGCTGCTGTACGTTTATACCTAATAACTTAGCCCCTGATGGATCTGTCACTAGAGCGTTAGAAGGTTTGAGAATTTTGAGTAAATCTATGCATGAAAATTCGGGTATTGATGGTGGTTTGGACAGGTGGTTTTCTATTATGTTTGGTAAATGGAAAGGGGTTGTCATGTCACTGCTAGTTTCTGTGGCTACTTTTGTAGCCATAGTGGTCACCTGTGGATGCTGTTGTGTACCGCGCATCCGGTCGCTTATCCTTAGGCTTATTACAGTTTCAATTGAGAAGGGAAGCAGTGGCCCGCCTGCTCCGCCTCCCTATCAGATGCTTTTTCGCGGTGCTGCTGATGAGGGGGTTGTGGAGCTGGGAGGTTCTGTTTAAAAAGGGGACTGTTATATAATTAGGCTAATGTTTTAGTTTTTAGTATACTAAATTGTTTTTTCTCTATTAGAAGGCTTAATCAATTTATTTGTGAGGTCTGTGTGTCTCAGACCTCAAAAGAGGGACTGTTAAAGAAAAATGATTATTTTTAGTTTTTAATACAGTTAATCTTATGGCATGTGTAAAAGGTATGTTGAACACTCTCATTTTGAACATATTTCTTAATTTTGAACAAGTTGCTCAGGATCTATGCTTAATGGGGTAATGGAATATGTTAGCTTGTATACTTAGG